CATTTCCATCATAAAGTTGTAAAAGATAAAAAATCTAGAACTATTGAAATTGTAATACAAAGAATTTATAAAAACAGGGTTTATCAAAGACTTAAATATAAGAAATGTTCATATCAAACTTATGTTCATTTTTATCTAGTAGTCTGTTTGATAGCCTAAAAGCATATTTAAAACGAAAATATGTGCCTATCAAACCGGCAGCATAAGAGGGTCATATCGAATTGGATATCGATTTCGTCGCACCCGAAATGGGGTGTAAAGATCCCATTGTAACTTAGATGTAGCCATATGTCGAAAGAGACTGGACATTTTACCCCTCTCCTAAGTTTGTCATTTAAAAAATTGAAATAAAATAACTTTTTACGGAAACCAATTTTATTATAGTCAACGAGAAAGGTAATGGAAACAAAAAATTTGAGAGAAATGCGAATGCCATAGATATAAACGTAAATAATTTTCTAATTGATATTCAATAACTGAACTATACGGTTGACCATATAGTGAATTCTATATTGCGATATACAATTGGGAGCAGGCCAGAAATATAATGGTGTGGACCATACAGTCACTGGGACTTTATCCCTTACAATTGTGACTGAAAGTAGTATTGGTGTCCATCTTCTAATTTCACTTATTTTACATGAGTCCCACGGTAGTACTCAATAAACTTTCGCCCCCAAGAGTTTAATGACTACACCACTTTCAAATTACTTGCTTAATCCTTTAATAGTTATTCCAGTCACAATATGTTTTACACAACAATCAAGTATAGGAGGAGGTAAAGCCCCTCACACGAGACTTAAATTCAAGTACAACAAAACATCTTAATCATTACGGTTCATAAAATCCTTAAGTGATTGCGTAGGGGACCGTTTTCGTTGGCACGAATTGATTTGGAAAGTCCATCTTCTGAAGTACCTTCACTTCAAATGGTAGTAGTTAAGTTAAAACAATATTGAGGGGATTAAAGTGTCATTGATTGTATTATAATTCATTAATTTTAGTCATTATTAGTCCTACTTTAGAATGGATAATTTGGAATATTGAACATTTAAAACGAACGAACGAAATAAAAAACAACGAAATATAAAACACGCAGTTTGAGATCTTGTCAAAGAAGAAAGAAGCAGATGATCAAATGTAGTATTCATCAACAGGTAGCAACTTCTTTTAAGAAGTGAATGAGGAGTGATGATGCATGTGATAATAATAATATGAACAGAACGTGATTTAGAGATTAGTTTAATCAAACAGTTTATTTTAGACTTTAGTATTATTTATATTTAGATATATTATTAGTTGTAAATGTGTATTTTTTTTCTTCTATAACTTCATAGTTTTTAAATCGTGTTTTATTGACATAAAACTTTAATATTCCATCCAGGACGAATACAAAGTTGGTGACAAATTTCGAGTATTAGACTTCGGATAAAATAAAAGTGAACCACTTTTATTTTATTTTACAAATGTCAATTTACGAACGGCACCTAATAATAGTAATAACAATTCATTTAACACCATGTTAAGTCTAGTTGATGATGAGTCATTTCAGGTTTGGAAATATTCGAAATGTTATATTATAGGTATACATAGAAATATTAGGACGCAATTCCTTACAATATTATGATCTGACAAGCACGTGAACCAACTTCTTGTATGCTTTTATAATTACTTAAGAGTCTTATCAACATTTCGTGTCATTCAATATTGTAATGTTTGTTGGCATACGCCACTATTTCATGACCAAATCGCTATTTAACTTTAAAGCAAAGATAAAGTAGAAGTAAGATAAATTAATAAGAAAAATAAAGCACTTACTGCAATCTGTAATGAGACCAATCCAAAAATTAATGGTTAAAAAAAATTATGTTATGAAAAACGGTAAAAAAATTCCATAGCTTAACACAGCATCACATAAGTTAATAGTAGAGTCGGCTGCGGGCAGGCGAGCAGAGATAATGAAATTGTGTACAGGAGCGCAACGAGCCGCGAGCGTGTCTCGGGTAAAAATCCACTTAACAAATTGCTGCTGATTCGAAGGGTTCAGGATTGTTGGCTGCTTTTACCTTCACGTCAATTATTCCCCGTGTTATCGATACACGAATGGTTTAGACTTTTTATGACTTTTGTCTCTGATTATACTTATGATACGATTGTACTGACACAATGGACAACATCAACTGCGAACTTTCCTTTTATCACCTTTCCCAAATTGTCACGTTAATGTACTACTTTAACTTTTGTTTGTTAAATGCTGCGTCAATTTAAAAACAAATACTACAGTTTACTATCACTTATAAGATGTTTTTCAATTAAAACATTTTAGAATTTGAAATTGTGTTTGGTAATTAATAGGCATACAATAAGCAGGCCAACATCAAATAAAACACCATAGTAACGAAAAGTATACTAGTCATAAAGTAGCTTTCATAATAAAACGTCCATTAGCTAAATAAAACAACCACGATGACACATGCATAAAATAATTAAACCATCAGAATAGGTATCATTTTGTTGGCAGCGACATTGCAAAAAAGTGAAACAGAAAAATAAAACACATTGCAAATAAACATGACTGTAATGAATTCGGTGCTGGGCGTATCGCACGCAATTGCACAATTTCAATTATCGCATTAGTTTGCGAGTGTACCGTGGGTGAGGCCGCGTTGGATGAATGGCATGATACATTAATGTGTCACTTCTGCTAGTAGCTTCTCTTTCCAACTGTATTTTCGTGATGTAGACTTACTATATTGATTTATCTTTTAATTTTATTTTTTCTGCTAAGGTCAATAAACAATCAAGCACAACGCTATTCAGCCTAGTAAATTTTCCACATTATTTTAAGTTAGCAATTTTTTTTCCCAATAACAACCGCTAATACCGTCATAGAAAATGCTATGGCAGTCTATCACCTCTATAGCATTTTCTACATCAATGACTTTGCATTCATTAATAAATACAAATGAATATTCATAAAACCTTTATCAAATCAAACCTTGTTTCGTAATGAACTTCCCATACAGAAACGAGTTTAATTTAGACACATCAAAAGCTAACAAAAATCAGAAGTTTAATTTGTGGTTATGGAAAATTTCCACGATCAACTTCATGCGTCGAAAACCAAAGGAAAGTTAGAATACAAAGGCTACCGTTGATTTTTTGTTTCCAAGGTGGAAAAAAAATTGGCATCGAGCGAATTACAAAACCGATGCGCGACGTTCGTGATGTAGGGCTGACCGAATTATTTTGTATTTTATGAATAAACCTGAGAATTATATGCAATGCGACTTACGGATCACCTTTGAAGAAAATTACAAAACCGATGTGCGACATTCGTGATGTAGGGCTGACCGAATTATGTAGTATTTTATGAATAAATCTGAGAATTTTGTGCATATATATAAAAAAAAACCTGTTTAAACTATGATTAATACTTTATGATTCAGCTAATACTTGCACAGAATAAAACAAAGATCATTTGACTCTATCTATCTATCTATCTATATTGATTATTTTGACTGCAAATGACTGTACGGATGGCGTACTGAGAACAATACTTTGTTGATTAACAAATTATATTACTGAGTCTGGGTGTTTTTTCTGTCAAGTCATAAATGTTTGTAAAGGAGTCTCCGACAGAGGACGCGCTTTCCTAGTGCGGGATATGGCTTTTCAAAAAGATGAAATTAAATATTTATAAAAACATTTTCTGTAGCCTATGCGTAAAGCAGAGAGACTAAACATTTTTAAACGGAAAAGTCATATGAGCCTGACCTAAGCATAAAAAATAAATGCAACGCAACCCTAACTTTCAAATATCGAACGCCGTACAGAATGAGAGACGCCTATCTCTATTGAATTCCCGAAAAATAAAAAACGTCGAGAGAGCTCGACCCCTCGTATCAATAGTTGCGGTAGATCTATTGAAATTTTCGATATTTGTCAGCCTGATTAGCTGGCGCTCCTCCCGACACCGCTGTACATTAGACGAGTGAATAGCCCAATAGCCCAGCGTGATGTCGTCATGAGCGCAATTTTGTGGAGCTTTTGTTTTTATTGCAGCTTGTGGTTTCGATTTATTGACAATACACTCTATGGTTTTTTGTTTAACTATAATATATACGTAAATAAAAAAAATAAAAAAATTTTTTTTTAAGAACTTACCCTTGAATATACTCGTATGTAAATTGGATAATTTTAATTTTTTCGTATCGGTTTACTCCAAAGAAAAAACTGTTTTTGGACTTCATACAAGAAAAGCTCTCGATAACTTTTTTACACGAACAAAATCTCTGCAATAGATATCAGACAACAGCAATCGCAATAAAAATACAACGTAAACTCGAGAGCCTCAAAAGTTTCTGTATCGTGAAAATGCATTTGGCCCGGCAAAGTTTCGAGATTGCCGTCATTGTCGGCTGATGAATCGCCTCCAATTGTGGAATACGAAATTTTAACAAATGCCACACAGCTACGCCATTGTTTTACTGTTCAATGAAGTTTGTGATTTGTTTGTTGTTTTATGTTTGATACTTTTATAAGCTTGCTAATGCTGAGACAATATAAATGAGTTTTACTTTACATTATTAATGACATTATTAATTACCATTTACTAGTATTTGTAAGAGAGCTAGATCCAGGCAATGCTATGGTGTTATATAATTTAATTTTGTACTTATGTATTATTAATTACGTCCTAAGAACAAGTAACAATGAAAATGTATATTTTAATTTACCAAATTTTTTAAGCTTCATTGATGTCTAATCAGCAAAAAATTACCTAGTTATAAATCTCAATCGGAAACACGTTAAACTTGCAAATGATTTAACAAACAAATGTGAATTACAATTTTATCAGATTGTTGAACAAGATTTTTAATTCGAGATATGTCAACAAAAATGTAACAAGATCTATTTGTAGCAAATATGAATACTCATGCATAGTAGTGTGTTAAAAAACCTGTTTCTGTATTAATGAAAATATCATAAAAACTTACCGATCGATGATAACTGGGTCGGAGGGCGTTTCGTTTCTATTACCACAGCTTTTTTTGTCACAACACCGACTGAAAGAGATAACATGTGTTACTGACTATCGAAATACAAAATTTAGTCATTAATCGAGAAAATAAATATTCTTAGATAAATTAATTGCCAGACATATAGTTGAAACTTTTTAGATGTAAAACTCAAATTTTAATGTTAATAAAAGTAAAGACAAGTATGACAATACTTTTAATTTTTATGTACCTACATATTGGTGTCATTTTCAAAACCTAAAAATTTAAATTGATGATGATCAATTTAAATGTTACTCTTTGCTATGATTTTTATTAGCGGTTTTCTAAGTTATATAAAGAGATATATTATAAATTTTGAAGATACCTATACATATAAAAACAAATTTAAACCATTAATCTGTGTGAATTATTTATAGTCTTCAAGATTTTATTTTCAGCTCCAATAAAAAAAGAGACAGATAATAATTTTTATGTCGAGTGTTTACTGAATGATGTGTGTGATATTAAATCAAAACCTACATAGTATTATAAGGTCATAACATCCATGACAAGTACTCAAATAGTCATTTTCCTTTACCTACATATAACTTACTTGTAATTAAATTGTTTCAAAATTATGTGTAAAATAATTCTACGAGTGTGGGGTATTAGTAATTCGTCCGTAAGATTCTATCTATTTATCTATCTTGAAATTATTTTTCAAATTTAAAAAAAATTATAAGCTTTTATATATTTGATGGAATATATTTAAATGACGGAAGCTATATATAATTTAAAAAATAACACCTAAAGCACTTTAAATGTCGTACATCGCGATACATTATGGGAACTTCCCGTACCTTCACTTAACTTTTATGCTAAAATGGGCACCTATTTCTGCACACAAAAAAACAATATACTGCAATTACCGAAGGGCTTTAGTTAAGCGTCATAAGTCATCATACAAAACACTTATAATGCTCGGTCAATTCAATAAATAATGGTTGTCCAATATAAGTAGCAACATTTAAACAATCAGAAAAGGGTTGAAAGACTTTCTATTATTATTATAAAAAAATATTATGTACAAAATTTTTTATACTCGTATATACCCCAAATGCAATATATTTTAAGTCATAGAAGGATTAGAAAAAATCCCATCAATATATTTTACAAACTCTAGGCAAGACTTGAAAAGAAAAACTTATCAAACGCCGTATCCACGCTAAACAAACACTACGCTGCACGCGCCCTACCGGGGCTTCTTGACGCAAAGGGCAAAGACATTGAAAGGACAGACTCCCTGGAGACTCCTCCCCTGAAGACGTGTGAAAGGGATGCACATATCCAGCCGAATGAAACAGTAATACACAGTCTAAGGTGGAATAAAATTTTAATTGCTCACACTGACGCGATCTACTATCATCACACACGCACACATTGACAAAGTGGCGAGACGCTGTAGTACATTTACGAGCGGAAAAACCACCCCAAACAAATGGTTAAATTAATAAAGACTTCTTTGTTCGTGCACGTAATTAGGAAGTTGCAAGACTGGGCTCGTTGTTAACATTTGTAATACTTATATCTTATTTATGTTTTAAGTTTAAACCTGAGCTTTGTTGATTGATGAAGATTTATTGATAACATAATCAACTCAACTGTTATAAACCAATAAATACGTTACATTAAGCCGTGTCGAATGTAAAGCTGTATTTAACCTTTCTTTTTTCTCAACTTTTAAAGCATTGAATAATTAATAAAAATTTCTCGGATGATTTGTAGTGTACTTAAAAAAAACTGTGACGCACGTCCCTAAGATTATGAGCAATTGTTTATTGACAGAGTTATATTTATATAGCCACAAAAGCACTATTTCGAGAAACATGACAGTGCAAAATATTTTGGACCTCAACATTTATGACAAATGACTATCGACACATTTCTACGAACACAGTAGCGTTTGTACGTTTCTTTTTGTTATTGAATATCAAAAAGGACTTGGCGGCCATTTTTGTTGCTATTGAAATTTCTTAAATTTATGTAAATAATATAGAATGATACCTGCACATAACTTCGTGTGTTAACAAAACCCTGCACATTTCTGGATTCTTGTCTTGACCTTCATACACTATAGGCTGAAACAAACAATATTATATGAGTACATATTTTTGTGTACTAATAGATTGTATTGTTACGAATTTAAAACTGCAATATTATCTTCGGCATATTTCCTCAACATATTGGGGAGACATGAGAAGACAGACAAATCTAACACATATAAAGCTTAACCTCTAAAGTATCTCAACTAAAACTGTTTTTTCTACTATCTAAACTATTTGAGGATGTTTTTCTTTTTAAGGGGGAAAAACATGGCACCAGGGAGTTCCTTTCTAGGGTATACCTGATTCCCCGGCTATTAGTACCCGAGACGGCGTGCGGTTTTAGTCGGTTCGAGTCCGACATGCCACCGACAGGTGGTATCCGAGGGGATTTCCGCACGGAAAAAAAAAAGAAAAAGGGGGAAAACATGTGAATAGTGTACTTAACTAGTTTTGAAGCATAATATAAATAATTTTGATTACACGATTATTTGCTACGCTCACATTTTGTGACGTTTGGCAACTCATTGTACTCGTATCACTACAGCGAAACAGGTTTGATGTCTAATAACCTAATTAATTGTACAAAAACAAGTCAATTTATTATTGATTATTAAATATGTAAGTTTGGCAAAACTACTTTAACCTTCCAATAAAAAAAATATGACATTGATAATACCTCTTCTTTTAATATTTTTGCTTTACATGCATATTTGATAAGGTAAAATACTATCTGAATGCTACAAAAAACTTAAGTAAGTATGTAGATTTCGAGGGTGTAATCAGCATTTGTTAGAAACTAAGGTCCGAAGATAATGTATTTAATTAAAAACCGTCCGAGAGATAAGATAAGATGTCCCGTCTTCATCATGTTATTACTTTTTCGCAAATTTATGCACCCCGCGTGCATAATTATTGCATTTTATTATTTAAACCAAAAATTAATTTGCATAATTCGTGCATTGACTACACGAACATTTAAAAAAAATGATGACTTTTTCATAATGATGATTATAATCAAATTGTTGTGACTTCCATTATACAGAATAATATGTAGAAATAGTACCGCTGACCTCGAATCGCTAAATAAAAGATTTAGGGCTGATTAGTATTTACTAGAAATAGGTTGTTTGTCGAATTTCGACCATATTTTTAATTATGGCCATTTTATGGTATTATAACTAAAATCTAGTCCGTGTAGTGACGGATTTAGAATACAGAGTGTCACCACCCCTATTCATCCCGTGGGTGTCGTAAGAGCCGACTGAGGGAGCAAACTACTCAGGACAATAGCACTGCAGAGAGAAGTATAACTTGACACAAACCCTATACGAGTACCAACCCGTCCGGTCAGTGTGGTATAGTAGGCCAAAACCTCCTTTCTAAAGAGAGGCCTATGTCCAGCAGTGGACTATTAAAGACGGTTGGTGTGATGATGTGATAACTAAATATGGTTTATGTGATTGGTCTGTATAACTTAAACTCTCGTTGTATATAGGTTATCATGTTGGGTCTACAATGTAGTTATGTATAAATACTAAAGCGAATACTAAGCGAAATAGCTAAAAACCAAAAATCACGAAATGAATTAAAAGAAAACATCATATATAATAGGAAATAAAAAGCCAAAATTTCTTTCCGCTACCAGTCAAAGCTGACACGTGTGCGCCGTGTTTATCTATTAATAACTAATAAGGGGCACCCTAAAATGTGGGGAAGTATAGAACAATGGTAATCTGTATAACTATAGCAAACTATTTGATATACAAACAATGAGTTTTTAGTCATATTCAAAATTTAATTTTGTGAATAAGTAATCACAGTAAAAATTTTACAACAACATCTTTAAGCGAATTATTGACTCTTGAAACCAATTTTGCAGATCGAAATTGCAATTTGCAGAAAATCGGGTTGAGGAAGGAAATTGATAAATAGTAGTTTTTTTTAGTGCCGGAGGTATTTGGCTGCAATGAGCAGTAATGAATATGATGCAACTTTTTCCACAGCAGACGTTGGAGGGCTTAACAATTTCAAACCTTCATGAAAGCTGGCTGAGCACGTCCAGTTGAGTAATCCTAGCAGTTGGTTGAGACAGCGCCAAGACTCGCGAAGGAGAGCCTATATGTCTTTTTTGGGGAACCGGTAATACTATCTGGATTACAAATTTATAGGCGTTTCTTTCATGAATAGTTAGAGACACGTTTTACAACATTTTTACAACATGTGGCTCAAAAAATATGTAATGGGACCCCATCTTACAAAGCGTCGAACTTTGTAACTACTGCTTACACAACAAAATAACCGACATTAGCCACTGATCCCCTAAAGCCGTAATAGATTTTTTCATCCCTGACAAAATATTTAATTGAATATGAAACAGGCTGGCATTATCGTCTTTTGTATCACGGATTTATAAGGACTCTGCTTTGTAAATTGTAATAGGTATTTAGGGGTCATACGAAAGTATTTAAGCAGGCAACAGCGTTAGATTTGGGGTAGCAACATTTTCTGTTTTTGGGCTTAAGTAAGGGTGGGATCAGGTGTAACCGTAAATCAAATAGGTTTTCTGGAACTTTGTTATAAAAGCGCTTGGTCAAATCGTTGGTTGGGAAAAATAATTGAGTTTAATGTTTAGAGAATGAAAGGCAAAGTTTGATTTGAAGGAGACAGGGAACCTTCTTGATGAAATCTACGATTAGACGGTACTATTAGAATATTGCTTTTTTTTTGTTGGTAAGAATATACCACTATAAGAACAAGTCAAGTCCATACGAAAAACGTGCATGGAGCCAACACAATTCAAGTAGCAAATTATAAAAATATTGTTCATTAATATTATGCCTATAAATGTATAGATCTCTTATTGTATGTAGACGTATACCGTCTTAAACCTAACAACCGATTTTCTTTTGTCTTTCCTATTGCTTATAAAAGCTCCGATTGTGATGATACTTTAACACTAATTCGCTTGACAGTTTACTGTTAAAAAAATTATTTCCGTGACCTTCTGACATTTAACTCTTTCTTTAAGTCGCGTCGCAAAGATAAGGAATTAATTTCATTCACAATCTGTATATAGTTAATTGATCCTGAATTTATGGATTTATATTTTGGGAGAGGCCTATGTCCAGCGGATGACTGCGATAGGCTGATGATTATGATAATGATGATATTTAAATAGCTCTGGTCCCCTCGTAAATCTACAGTATATATTGTTGGAATAAATCTCTTTATAGAAGATTCGAAGATTCCCAGATTTAAAGTAGGTATAAAGGTAAGTTTTGTAATCTTCATAACCTTACCTAATATTTAAAAAAAGGACGTCACCTATCATGTTCACAAACTCTCAAAGGGTTTTCAACAACACCGAAACCCAAATCTCTGGAGTAAAGCTAAAAGTAAAATCAAGTGTGATAGTGTTAGCTAACATTTTTCAAGTTCACTCCGTGAGGCAATTCCCTAGGACACTTGGGGCTAACCACCGGGGTATACTTGTCGCATGGGATTCAATCTCAGGGGAATTAATGGGAATTTAAAAAAAAATGACCAACGGTAAGTGTTGCAGTAAGTAGCGATTATCAATTAATGTTTTATTATTAAAATCTATCTAATAGCTTTAAACGAGCAATTCTTGTATATATGTATATATATTACCTGAATCTCGGTAACCGCTCCAACGATTTTCATGAAATTTAGTATGCAGGTGGTTTCGGGGGCGATGAATCGATCTAGCTAGGTTTCATTCGGTCATCCAGGTCTAGTACCTAGCTAGAGATTTATAATAAATCAAAAACGACTGCTTAAACAAATATATGTAGATATATAAAGTTTTTGAGTGAGAACTGTAAGTCAAAGACTAACAGCCTCAGTCGTGCGTGTCCGCCTCGGTGGTTTAGTGGTAGCACATACGACTGCTGTGCTGAGGTCTCGGTTTCGATTCGAAAAATATTTGAATGTTTGGCAAATATTCGTCTCGGAGTTTGGGTGTTTTCTATCTATAATATGTGTGTATTTACAACAAAAGAAAAGTATACAAGTATTCTATCAGTCTTTCAGAGCTCTACTCAGCTTGAAACGAGTTGGTGTAGTGTGTCAATGCCCGAACAATATTATTATTAAATAGAATTTAATTTTGACAATTTGAATTTAAATCTGCAAGTAAATTAGAAATAAGAACTTATGGATATAAAAGTATGCAACACGCTTCTTAGCTGTTTCATATAGATTCGTCCTACATAAGTTACTGTAGGTATAATCTAGTAATTCTTGAATGCTTAACATTAAAACTTTTAACTTAAGTTGTTTGATATTAAAGACCCAGTATTAAATTACTCCCGGTTAAGTTACCGATTCTAAAAATAAACCCAAATCGTCACATAACATTATCTTAATAAGACTTGTACGAAATGAGTGACACGCAAAACAGTCGTTCACCAAAAATGGCGATGAAAAGATGGCGTTCAGATAATAGTGAGTAGCGGTCGATTTAATTGTATTAAAACGTTAGGCTGAGCACACGGCCAATCAGCTAATGTTGTACGGTGCATGCGAACACGACACGCAACTCTTGTTTTGGTGACTTAGAAAAATTATAAGGATGTCTTCCGTGTCATAAACCGATTTATATAATAAAGACTAGCTATTGACTTGATTTCTGAAGTAAAACTTCTTTACGCACGCTTGACTTGGGGAGTAAGCTGGTGAATGTGCGACGAGAGCGTTACGAAATGTGTGATCGGGCGGGGCGAACGTAAGTTGAGAGGTAAGTTAGGGAAGATTGAAAGAGAGAGACTTACGTTTCGTATATTACTGTAGGGGCAAGAGACACATTTTCTTTCTTTCTTTCTCTTATAGCCCAGAAGTTTTACTTCAGTCGTGAGGTGTAAAGCACACTCGTTTTTTTTTATTTCGTATTTCTAACTTTGAGAATGAAGAACTTCCGTACAACCGTTATTTTATCCGTTCTTTCTTAGTGGGTGCTCACAACATAAATCGCGTCAGTTGCCAAAATTTTATAACGTAAAACTAATACGAGCATTTATAAGAGATCCGTAGGTTAGTGTGTAATACCTAATTTAAGTAAATATTTGTATCTGTGGTGAACTAACGCTGCAACTAGGCTCTACATCAATTATGGGTTTTGCAGTGATTGTGTCTGCCCCTTTCTAGATGTTCAAATATTGTATTATGACATATCCTGTAACTTTTAAGATTCTTTAAAGTACATTATCTCGAGTATTGTTTAAAGTTTAAAATGACTATATTTTATTTTCTTTAACTTTTGATCATAATCTATCATTATTTTCGATATTATTTTTAAACTGGCGGACGGTTTAAACTAAGTAGCTACATAAGTTTTAATAAGGAGATTATTTGTGTTCCCATACTAAATCACTATCATATCAGTATCTAAAACATCAATCTGCCCACCCTCTGTTTGAATATAGTCTTAAGATACTGACTCATGGTTCGCCGAATGAGATTTTAGACAAATCCCATAGAACGGACCGTGGTATGAATAGAGAGGCGTGCGCGCTACACGTGGCTGCATGATTATGTTTACTTAACGATGTTCAAACAACATATTAATTTGGATGCCTTTTGTCCAGAAAATGACTTCGGAAATTATTTCGTAAATTGCTTGCAATCGATGTTGTGTGAGAAAACTAATAAAGCAACATACCACAAATTTTTAGTAAAGCTATTTTTTTCAGACATAATAAGTTTTCTGAGTCATACAAATGTTATATACATATTTAAGTTATATAAAATTAGCAATAATGTAGAGCAAGAATCGCGTGATTATTTCTTCTATCGTGTTTCTCACCATGAAAATGGCGGACTTCACAAACGTTCATCCTTTACGTGACCCCCCGGCGAAAATAACAAAACTCCTGTTTTAGTAGGTTCTTACAATATAATAAGCATCAGCTGCCAAAATTTTCAGTTAGACTACGTTGATGTATCAATCAGTAACCAAGTAATTTTATACATATAGATAAACGTCACATCATCATCACATCATCAGCCTTTAATAGTCCACTGTTGGACATAGGCAGAGGCCTAAAACCTCCTTTCTAAGGAGAGCCTTAGAAAGGAGGTTTTGGCCTACTACACCACGCTGGCCAGACGGGTTGGTATAGGGTTTGTGTCAAGTTTTCCTTCTTTTTGCAGTGCTGGTGACCTGCGTTGTTTTGCGCCCTTAGTCGGCTCTTACGACACCCACGGGATGAATTGGGGTAGTGACATTCCGTATTCTTATTTCGTCACTACACGATAAATGTAAACGGTAGTAAGTATCAACTAGGTCCGAATATTATCTATAACTTTTAGAAGAACTTCAGTAGAGACAGATAGAAATACTGGACAGTTAGGTAGATTATACTTGAAGCCCAAAATCGATCTAAGTGGCGTGCAATGGGAGAGGCATATGTCCAGCAGTGGACTGCGATAGGTGTCTGTGCTGGCTGTGTGATCATGATGATGCTTGACACCAAAGAGACAAGACTGTCAGGAGCTACAGATAATAAGAATACAGAAGAAATCGAAAACCAGTAAGGTATACGACGATATACATACTCGTACATTATTTTAGTGAACAACCAACACAATATAATACATGCCACAACATTATTTACTGCTGCCATGACGTCTCGCTGTCCCTATACTCGAGTGTGCAAATAAATGCATAAATGGTATAAAAGCGCTGCTACACTGACATTATAAATTACTATATAAACATTTTGGTAAAGAAACTGGGCGATTTTTGCATAAACAATTCCAGGTTTTGTAAGAATATTTATTTAGTATCTCTATCTTTCAGTTTTTTTAACCACTATATTTCACAAGACAAACATACCTGAACGCAGCTCCGGCCTTATCGATCTACTGAATTTCAGTTTCGTGTTTCCTATCCAAGACAAATCTAGCTCCTTCGCCATATCCGTTATTTTGCCCCTATTTTAATTTTCCTTCTTTCTTTTGTCTTTCTAAAAGCAATTACATCCTTAAGGAGGATTGGCGGCAGGCAAGGGGCCGATCAAAATCCTATACACATTCATGATGATGATGAATGATTTATTTTGATGGATACAGTATTAACTAATAAACATAACATGCATAATTTGTGCAAATTAAGCCATATTTTAAGTATTAAGCTAAGCTGAGAGCAGACTTGTTCACTCAGTTATTTATACACTATATTAATCACTCAGTTATATAAAACTTATAGAATACATATTTCAGAATGTATGTTTGCCGTGAAGATGATTTTTACGAGTATAATTTTGCAAAGGATATTATCAGAAAATGTACAAATAAATTTCCACCTAACTGTACAACGAGCAAATTTGAAAGTCCGTATGCGTTGTCGCTCATGTAAATCACCAGCAGTGCACGATGCAAGTACGTCTTTGCATCTACCGTCTACTGCGGGCCACTTTTTATTTAGTGTTCGACCATAAAACAACATTATCGTACCAGCGGTTGTGATACTATACAATTTATATGTTATTATGAAAGCTGCTTTTAAATAATTTACATAGACACACCGCTATTACAGTAAACTAACTAAAAATGAGTTTTAAGTTTCATAAAAATATTACTAACACTGGACAGTATATAATTATTTATACTCCATATCATTTTGCTCGTTAATATTTTGAATATTGTTATATATATTAAATTTAATTAATGAAATTGCAATACATTTAAATAAATTTAATTACTAGAACCTATAGTTGGAAACCAAAATCTATGGAACATTTCCCACGAAAGCATCAAACTACTAAAATATCCCAGTGTGAATCAAAATTCTAATTATAAAATAAAACAAAATGAAACAGCTTCGATATCCGATGTTAGTTTCAAGAAAGCATATATTGTATAGACAATGGATCATGATACCTTTCTTTCTAAATATAGAAGATATGATATTATTATATTTACAATGCCTCAACAGTGTTCCAGCATCGAACAAAACACTGCACCCCGTATCAACCTGTACGCACACATACGATTCCGTAATTCTTAGTTAACAACGTTCGGCCTAAGTTAATTATGTTCATGGCATAAATCATTTGTAATTGGCCTCTTGTTACACAACACTAAGAGCTTGGGACGTGTTGAAATTATATATGTGAGATGGCGAAGTTTCATCATGTTTTCGTTAGTGTTATTTGTTGCAGCGTTATTGCTTTTAATTGTTAGCATTTCGAATTTAATTTGGTGTTTAGTGAACTGAAAATTGTTTTCGAAAGAGTGTTAAGATGATAGGTGTTTACCTGATCAACTGACTTTATATCCATATATATTAGTAGCAGTCTAAAAAGGCAATGTAATGCTTGAAAGTCAATCCTCGATCATTATTATTTCAAAAAATTAATCAATTTTTAATCGCATGTTTTTAAATTATGTACCTACTTCAAAATACACGGATCCATGAGTGGTGTCTTCGTCACAAAAGTCACCTTATATAGATTATTTAAATATACTTATAATAATAATTATGTAGTGAGCATTGTCACTTGTTCTGTTATGTACGTAGAAATACAGAAGTACATATATTTATCAATCAGCAATCTGGTTACCAGAGTACAGGCTCTTCTGCCTAGTTTGGGCCGACGATCAGACGTCCATGAGTGAGAAATATGGGGTTATATTATAAATCCAAAGCTGTCTCTAATATTAAATTCACCAAATATCTATTTTCTTTCAAATCACAAATGATATCAAATTTACAGACATTAGTAGTATCTGTCAAAAGGATTAACCCTGAACATCGCTTCAACCCTTTGAATGTCTATCAAATCTAACATTTCACACGTCACCCGTTCACACCGTTCGGATTCTAAACTTAAATAAAATTGTAACACTAGATAACGATAATGATTGTGCTCAAACGCAATGCAATTTAGTTGACCAGAGGGCGTGGGGATTACGGCCTAATCGGGCGACGTCGATGACAATCGCGAGCGTGGCGGCCACGTGGCTCATCACGTGGGTGTCACGTGTGAGGTGCGGGACGATTTCGGTACAGCTGTTATTGTATAGAAATTGATGTGCTGCAATGTATGTAAGGTTGTAATTCACTTACTTGTTTCGTCACCGAATCGATGAGTCGAACAAAAATGTCTTGTTCTTGTCTAATACCTGCAAAGAAAAATATATTTAAGGTATAAAAAATCTATAACTTGTAACATTATGCTACATTGATTGATAATTAATTATAGTTAAATAAGTATTAAGTAGTCAACTATTGTTTAGGGACTTCGAACTTGTAATAGACCCACTTGTGAACAGTAAGTTGGGATCAAAAGATCTTATGTGATAGTGACCGGTTGAACACCACATAAAGGGTTTATATAACAAAAATTGGATTTAAAAAAAAAATTATTTTGTTGGAAAGGTTTTTATCACTGTTAGTAAAATTTACAAGTTGACCTTGAATCGTAAGACATCATTTTAGCTTCACTACAAAAAAAATCGTCAAGAGTGTTGTTTTGTGTTGTTTACATAAGAATATAATTAATACATATCTGTAACGAACCTAACAGTACGCTCTTATATTACCTACAACATGTTGTGTTACAAAGATGGTTCTAATTCTCGCTCCTATAAAACAGTAACATTTACACATCGTGGTAATAAAGATCGTAGCAAGCTTACTACGAACGTAACCGGCTACGCCGGAACGTAGCAGACATTGCACAATTTGTTAACCTCCTAGAATTGCCTCTACGCTCGGTTCTCGCCTTCAGAGTTCCGTACCGAAATGCTTGAATTAACGGTGAACATTATCGCTTTAGTTTTATTGCTTGTAATTATCTGTACGACGCTGGATCTAATGCTATTTGATTCCCTTTCATACTCCAAGTCAGGGTAGGTTTTGGTTGTTTATATTGCCAAAATTATTTTTACGACTTTATTGTTTTCTAATTTATAAGACTTGAACTAAGAACAATCTAATTTTACAACTTCTTCTACCACAATATCAATGAAATTAAAATTTGATTAAAAGACACATGAAGCATTGGAAGACATGTCTTGTGTTTCATAGTTTTATACAATGTTTTTGACATCTACTGTCATATAGATATATACATATGAAATCAGTTCTTTTTTTAAGTCAGCAATTTACCTAAACCCGGCCAGAGTAGGAGCCTTTATTTCAACGATTTTTAAACTTAAAACTGACCTAATAGTTCAAATCGTAGAAAGTGTATTATATTTTTTTTATGTATTTCTGGTAAGCTGAAAACGGTTAAACACTTTTTAAGTTAAATTCCAAAAGTTAAATTCACGGCACAAGTAGTGAACAATATCGAGTGAGTACTTCAAAGCAGTCATCATTTATAGTCCAAGTGCCCACTATTCTGTGCCAATTTTCCATTATCCTTGGTCTAACGGTAAGATGGCAAATATTTACAATGCTACTATCGTATATACAGTCTGTTGTCGCCAATGTCTGTTGAATACGAGATTAAGTTCTACATTTGATTTATATCTTGTTCCAACGGAACAAAGGACATAATTGCTTAAAGAAACAACTCAGACGTGATTTTACGCTTTCTGTTTTCGTTTACTGACTTTTGACCACGGTTTTACGTATATATGTGTCAGTTATGTAAATCTAAAGTTGCGTGTTAGAACTCTAGAACTCGACCAACTGGTCGAAATTCGTTCACGGATTCGAGCTAACATCCTAATTCACAGTTTCTTTATATCCTAGACATCAATAAATGCTTTTAGAACTATACCTACAGTATTGAATCCTGATTCGGAATGTTGCTGGTAGCGATGTTAAAGCAAGGAAACAACAAGAACGTGACTGAATTATGGACATTCTGATATCGGTTTCATCGGTAAGCGATTCTTTTTTAAACAGTATTTGTGTGTAGAGGGTTACATGTTTAGGATATTCAGGGAATGAACCATACTATGCAGAAATAAGCTATTTAAACAAAAAAAAACTTTTTATATCACAACCACAAACCGTTTTTTTTTTTATAATTATGGACTGTTAACTGACATTATTAATTTGTTTATCTGTGGATTGTGTTTGCACAATCTACAGATAACCAAATTCAAAAGTCCATCTTCTATCACAGCAAATACTTCAGTTGTCTTAGAAGGTCTTGAATAGCTATTGATGACAAAAGCGAGCATGCCAGTATAACAATACGGGCAGGTCAAGGCAATATTTGCTCAACTCTAGACCGACTGACAATACTTTGCACATTCTGCATTATGTAGACACTCTATGAGACTGTATCTACTATTATACACTGAGCCCTACTACCCATTAGAACACTATTAAGACTTTTATGTGATCGTTAGAACTTGTGACAGAGGTAGTATTAAATAGTGTTAGTTCTTTGAAATGTCTGTAAAATGACAAAAATAAAGTTTTATAGTATGCACTAAAATGCAAAACAAACTAAAGTATTATAAAATAACGAAAAATCGAAAAATAGTAAAAAAAACAGTAAGTAAGTTGATGGGAGATAAAAGTTGGCCCCTGTTAATGAATATTGACGATTAATGCCATTAAAATAATAAATTGAGATAAACACGTATCAGTAATAGTAATTTCAAACAAGGAAAAAACGTCTCATTAAAGCCAAATAAACATATTAACATTTTCAATGCTCTACAAAAGAGCTCAAAGTATATGCCCAAACCACAATCTTGAAGTCTTAGGTACTTGTCCTTTTACAAGTTTTTGAGAATAAATATGCAAAAATATCCACATTACATTTGTTACTAAAATAATAACGTGAGACAAAAATGTATTAAAACTTATTAGTAAAAGTAATTTCAATCAAGAAAAAACGCTCATAACAGCTAAAATAAATAACATAACAGCTAAAAGTGTATATGCCCAACCCCCAAACTTGAAGTTTTAGATACTGTTACTTTACAAGTTACAGTACCTACCTAAAACGTCACCAAATTTTTCAGAATAAAATAAATATACATATTTCAAATATGTATAATCTCTCTAATATCTTACTAGAAATAGCAAAACAAAAGAAAATATTCATTAAAATTTATCGACATAGTTCATTTCTCAGGCAATAAATTTACTACGTCTAAATAATGTCAAAACGTTCATTAGTTTGATATCTGTACATAACCGATTATAAATAACTAATCTCTATGAACGAACCTAAAATAAATACCCCTAAAAACTATTACCATTAATGACTAAAGACAATATGAATTAATGAGATGAAAGCAAACCGCCGTGGTTACATCAGAATATCAAAACGTGACTAAATAATCACTTACCATTTGCATAAAGTAATTGAAGTCTGTATTGAATGCCATTATTCGTCTTTTGTCCTTCAACTTCCTGTAACAAAAATACTTGATTGAGCAGAGAAACTGCTAGTAACGTTCATCATCTACGTTTATTAGGCTAGAGAAACTCATCTTTTACCATAAAATAATGAGACCAGTTGAAGCTATCTCTATGAATTAAACAAATACACCTTAAATAACCCCATTGGTAACCACCACATACCACACTCAATCTAATCACCTTACAAATAAAACAAAATTTGTTCATCCATTTAGGACTTATGAGGTCTCAGACAGACGTACATAATACACAAGCACACATTAAACTCACGGAAGGGAGGGGTCTTTCTTGGGTCGGGGGATGATAAAGAATTCGGATACGCTCTCTTACTTAGAAATCCCTGTTGATATTTGAAATACATTATCTAGTACTAACTATAGGTAGATAAATTAATTATAAACAGCTTAATAATTTTAGTATAGTTAAATTAATGATGAAAATACTTTTATCACTTGTGGTAATCCGTTTGATTTGTTAATTTCAGGCAGCTGACTGTACCTTAAACTTTACAACTTACTAAACTAACAACAGACAATGGACGCCCAAAATAAGTAGGTACTTACTGCCACAATACATTTAAAGTGCGGACCGCACGTCGAGTAAAAATGCGAGCATGAATGTTTACTATCTGAATAATTAATAGGGCGAAACAAACAAAACGTGTGAACGAGCCAGCGACCTCTGGTGACAGTTGTTTTAACCTACATTTTGGAAAATATTTAGCATATCACTTGGTTGTGTACAGGTAAGATGTAGCTACTAAACTCAAAACTTAGATTAATTATATATGTATTTCTCACGAAAAACAAATAATTATTTATTATATTAAATTATTGTTATAAGCCGCCAATCCTTAATTTTTGTAGCTTTTTAATATTTACGTAGACGCTTCTTACTAAAGAAATTCTCATGTTTTACAAAACCAATAAAATCTGAAAACTTCTAAAGACTGTACTATTATCACGAAGAAAACATCATGTGGAATTTAAAAAACCTTTGATACAAAAAAACTCTGTGTGGTGGTATTCGCAAGAGTAGCACCTTCAGCAACTCTTGCGAATACCACCACACAGAGTATAATAAATACCAAACTTATACTAAAATGACAAAGGTTCCAAAGACTTTAAATCCTCGAATTCAAAAATGTTAACACATGCTACCAGTACGCATGCGTATTATGTAAATAACCAGTGTGCACACAATAGACATCATGTCGGTCCCATCCTGATTGATGAGCTGCTTGAATCGCGATACCTATCTCGTCGTAGGGATTCCTTGATAAACTAACAATATGAACGTATTGGAAGAGACTTAACTAAACTAAATGTTATTTAGAGATCTGTTTGAGAATACAAAGGTTCATTTTTGTCACGAGGGTGAGTGATTTTGTTTACATTTTATTGAAATCGTAACACTCGGACAATTTCGATTAATATATATTAATTTTAATATTATAATCAATTTTAACAGTATATATTTTATATGCAGTGTAAATTAAAAAACCAATTATCGATCTAGTGACCTTGTGACTAAAGTTTCGTAAAACACCCAGCACACTACCTATATCAATCCCTTAAAAAAGGACGGATCCTTATTACATAAACACTAGTATTTGTTAATAATATATACCTGTAGTAGTAGTTAGTATATACCTGAACTATAAAAAACAAGTTAAGGTGAGTTCTTCTTCAATGGCTTAGGTAAATCAAAAATAGTTGTGAGCAGTTGTAATTAATGAAAATCTACTTTATTGACTTTTAACTAGTTTGTTTAAATATCCTACAAAACTGATAGGCCCTTAAAACAAAAAAATAATACTTTGTGTGCAACATGTATGTATCAATCTGCAAACAATCGTATTCAAAAGCCAACTGACAGTCAGATAAATATACCACCAAATAAGCAAATATCACTACATTATTAATATAAAATACATAGATTTCAAACTCTAATACTGACCTGATCTTTCTCAATGAAACCAATAAAGGCAGTACGTTCTATCTCGACCGGTTGCCCAGAGCGGTCGTACAGTGCCACAACGAAGTGGAAGAAATTGCTCTTGCGTAGGTTGCTGGGCGGTTGCTTCTCGAAGTGAGCGCGGCCAACGCCTACGCTGCTGTTAAAACAATGATAAATTTTATTTTATAATGATAGAGCAAAAAAAGTATAGTAAATAGTACTATTGTTACAAGATTCGTAATAAAAATACCTAATACTTAATACGTTTATAGTATATATACCTAAATAGATTATTGAATATATTTTATCTATGCTTTGAAACACTTTTAGTTAACTTATTGCCTGACCGTGAAAATATAAAACCTAACCTAGGAGCGGCTCAATTACGTTTCTTATCCCAACACCAAATATAGTCATACCAAATGACTATACTTACGAAATGACTATACTTAGTGTTGACTATACTTAGTGCAGGACTATACCTAAAGAATTGATAAACGTTTAGGAGTTTAAAGGGGGTTAAAACAAACATAAATTATAAGCTCCAAACTTTTGAAATAATTAACAATTAAAATACAAATAAGATCATTTTTCTAGTCATGTATCGAAGTCATGCATCTAGTCATGTATGTCGAAGAGAAACATTATTATGTATTCACATAATAATGTTTCTCTTCGATAAGTGAATTATGGTAGTTTTTCATGTTCTTAAATTCCTGTCGTGACTAAAATGTACCATGTCAAGAATCAACTCAAGACTAAGACATAAAAGTATCGTCATAAACGAGCACAAAAAATCTGTCATTCTCAAGCTATACATTATAATATTTCTTTCACTCGCATTCTATTTTTAAACCTGCAATTTATCAATATACACACTACCAAAACAAATTGACTTGCCTTTGTTGTTAACCACAGAAATAACAAAACCAAACATAGACAAAAGAAGAGATTATAATCCTTTTAAATTAATGATTTATGATTGTCAATGTGTTTTTTGGTAAAAGGTGCATTTTGATAAACTAAGGTACTGTCATTTGTTGTGACATTGAATATAAAAAGAAAAAAAACTAATGTGTGTATTTTGTTGTGTAATGTGTTAAACAAAACTTATACGTGACTAAAACTAGAATTGCCGCAAGTTAGAACAACTACTTCATTGATCATAAGATTAACACTCGGAACCAATTCTAAAATATCAACAACACAAATTGAAGTGATGATATATAAAAGGAGCCACACACAGTTATCGACAAGGCGGACTATTGCGTTTAGGATAACTTACGTCTTATCTGTTTTAACTCATAATTATTAAGTAATAAGGTCTAAATTGGAAAAATAAATAAATGTGTGTTTTGGCAAAGCATTTAATAAATACATCGTCATAGCAACTTATCAACTCCATGTATGAAGGTTGTCAAATTTATCCACTAAATATTTCATTGGTTGTAGAAGTGAATATGAACTTTTTTCTGTTGTGTAGTTAATTATAGGTATTGCATGGTATGATAATATCCTTTCTTTTGCCTTTTTTTTACTATTAATTATTTCATTAAATGTTTTAAATGTATGTTTATAGGTACAAACCTAATAAAAGCGAGAAACCGGTAGGTAGTCACTTACCTACTGTATATTTTTCCTAAAGAGAAAAAAATAAATATACCTAAGTATTAACTTAACCACTTTATGCCTACCTAAGCCTTTTCTATGCCCAGTGATACAAAAAAGAGCATAGGTAGGCATAAAGTAGTTAACATAGGTACTCTACAAAACCGATTTTTAAAGTCTGCAGTAATATGAGTGACTCATAGTATGACTTGACTCATGATAAATCAATTCATACTATAAAAATATAAAATTCTTGTACAAAACCATAAAACTAATATCGTATCATATTAAGTTATCTTGAATATATCGATACAGTTACCACACTAGAGCACATTACCCACCAGGACCGTATTACGCTATGGTCGCCCATTCATCTCTCCCCGCTGCAGAATTTGCGTAAACAAATTGGTTTCGCGATTGCCATTTTATACTCTCGCACGCGACACTCCATTGTTTTATTTATCGTTACCAGTTTCGGCGGCGCGTTCGCGATTAGGTTGTAGTGCTTTTTCCGCTTACAGATCGCTCGTGTTGTCAATCTTTAAACATTGTTTTTGTTTTTTTTTAAGAATTATTTAAATGGACAATCTGTCTATGTTTTAGTTCAATGCTCGATTTATTCTACGCCTGTGTGTATCAGTGATAAAAAAACATTTTTCAAGTTTCTAGTCAGGCTGTGTATCGCTAAGCCAGAGATTGTGGATTTAATGTGATCTAATAATTGTGTGATGAGTACGAGCATTTAGTCTCTGTATGGCTAAAATCTGTATCTGTTTAGACTAGTTTTGTCAATAATCATTTTATGTATCTTAGTAGTTAATTTAAGGGCTTCAGTTTATTTAAAGCAATGCTCTGATACCTATCAGAGCATTGCTTCAAGAATGTGATACTGTATTAAGTTGTTTTAACAATATTCTACTTATCTTTTATGTCACTACTATAATTTTAAGAAAAGGGAAATCTCTATCGTAAACTTATGGAAGGGGATTTAAAATCACAGTGTGTAACTAAATATTGTTAAATTGGGAATTAGACTTTGGGAGGACGTAAAAGTAAAGTTTAATTAAGATTTACTTATATAAATGCTAATTTCAATTTTTTGATGTGTCTCAAAGTAAAGATTCTTTGATTTAATAACAAAGGCATTGCTTTTTCGTGATTAGAACAGTATTTTTTTTTTTATTAAAAAATAAGTTACCCTAACATTAAGTATTATTTACTATATATTTACTATAAGTATTTTCTTCGTATAGGTACTAATGCCTCAAATCCGCCCACCACTATAACTTCTGTACGCTAGGATCAACAGCAGTGACCCACGAACACAACGAGTTATGATACTCGGGCAATCCCAAGAAAAAAATTAAACTGTCTGGGAACCCGCAACGAAATGAATCAGAAGAAGTTGGAGGAGTTGGAAATACAGTAAATCCTCTTCCCTCTTAACAAAGCGGGAGACAAAATGAAGTAAAATAGGCATACACCCTTTTAAACAGGGAAGCAAAATGTTATGGGTCCTAAGTGAGCTACATTTGATTTCTATAATGTATATGACAGAATCGCCTAAACGCACGGAAATTCACCCTGGTTGACACAATATCCCCATAGTATACCGCCCCAGATGTCACCTGCAAGCTTTTCAGCATTACATTACGTTCAATATACCAAAGACTAAATTCTCAGAGGATATGATGAGCAGACTGTTCACAGTTAGAGTTAGGTATTGGGCATTGACACAACGGTGACTCGACTAATTTAAATGAATACAGTTTGCTTTTAAACCATGTCTTGTAAAAAATTGAGCCACACAGTAATCCACCTCAAGCCATGTCCTCGACAACCGTTCGCGAAACGGAAAGAGCTGGTAAAGGTAGCGTCCCTTAGATGATTCGTCCGAGCGTTATTCCCATTCGTCTATGAGATCAATATAGACATCAGACTGCTGTTGAAGCAGTAGCGAGTAGCGAACGCTACAGTCTGGTTACCCTTTGGCCTCATCAGCGTCTAGACGCAGTGTAGGTGCAGAACACTGCACCTACGGTCTACGGTAAGAAGAGCATATCTATCCCGTCTACGCAGCAGGAGACTTCACCGCAGCAAAGCGCACTGCATGCAATTCCGACTTACCGGGATCAGCGTACTTCAGCCCCGACTCACTGGGACTCGTGGCACTCAGTTCCGACTCACTGGAGCTACTCACTACTGCCACTGAGACGCTCCACAACAGAGCATAGACATCTGACTCATCAATATATCCACCTCCGGTCTTAAAGGGGAGCGATGTGGCGTCTTCCATCCCTCGGACACAAAGGGAGAATCCTCCCTTTGTGTCCGAGGGATATGGGACCCGTTTCTCCACATTGTAATAAAATAATTAACTACTGATGTATGAAAACGTGTAAATATAAATTTTATATATAATTAAATAAATTCCATTACCCAAAACAATTAAAAATCGCGTGTAGACATCGTTCTACAGATCATTACTCAGTAATGTAGGTAAAAAGTGTAATTTATTAAAAAAAGCGTGTACGGGGCGCGGCCTAATGATTTACTGGGCCTTACAAATGGGACTGTCATCGCCGACGGCCGACTATCTGTCAACATTTGTCATCTGTGGCTCGTTGATCGTTCTCAATTACTTTAATTAGCGGCGTATTGAATTAATTGGTTTATAAATTTAGGCAAATTCCTAGCAATTTTTTGCGTTATTTAAAAGTTGTAAATATATTTTTTGTCATGTAATCTAAAAATAGGATGACGTTATTTGTATCATAGATGTAGGTTTTGTTTTTTTAAATTGAATAGGTACCTACGACTACTAAAATAATCAGATTGCTAAGTAGCGGAATACAAGGAAGTCTATGTAATTGTTGTCTTAGTTCTAATTTAATAAATGGGTTGAATATACATAAGAAACGGTAAGGACTATGAAATACCTAACAGTCGACTTGAAACAAAATAATATGTTTTAAAATCAATATTGCTATGTGGTATTAAATTATTTCTAAATGCATAATATGTAGCTTTACTTAGACGGATAAAGTAGGAAGTTCACTGATTCTTACAATTTTTTTTTAATAATCATTACTAATCGGCCAATTGGACTGATTTAAGTAATTATTGTAAGTAATTGTGAGCAATTATTTAAGAATTCATGAATGTTTCCTTATATTCATTATACCTATATAATACAATGCATAACCAAAATAAATAATAAACTGCTAAGCATTTCAGAAAATCAATAAAACTAAATACAATTAGTCTATCCTTCCCACAAGTTTTGTACCATATAAACAAACAAAAACATCGACAATCGTAGTAAACATTTTAGCAGAAAACTCGGTTAAAACCCGACAGATGTCGGGAGGGTTGATGTTATACAAACACAATACCCACTAATTTGAGTACATCAAATATTCGCATTATACATCTACAGTACGCCAAATGTACCTACTATTGTTGCATAAGTATATTATTATTTATAAAAGATGTGATAATTTCTGTTTGTAATGATGATAACTTAAAAAAATATGGCTTCATTATTTGAGTTTATCAAAAGGCCGAGCTGGCCATTAACACTAGGTATAGGTATTATAAATTCAGTAGAAAGGTATCCATCTGTCCCCCATTGTCAAAAATGGAACAGTTCGTTTACATGTTATATAATTATGTAAAAATATAAACAAGTAAAGTAACAAAAAAGTATGAATTTCAGGTATAATGAGGTACTTTTTATTCCAATAATTTTATGCGAGATGAAAATACGGTTTTATTTTATGAAATAAAGCAAAAAAAAACAATAGTAAAGAAAAGTTCAATTTATTTTTAATTATTTTCGGCATGTATTTTTGACATTTATAGACTTTCATATTTTTATTACTATCATAAGCAAGATTTATAACCAGAACATAACTATCAAGAAAAATCGGCACCAGCAATTTTATTCACTACCTACTTGAGCTGATACCATACACTAAATTGCTGCAAAGCACCGACCGATATCCACAATGAGTCCATTATGACGCGGTATCCAATCAAGGGTGTGCAAATTTCGCACAGCCCATAATGAACCATGCAGTAACCGTGCGGTAACAAGTGTGTTTTCATAAAAGCAAAGGGCGGTATAAATCATTTTCTTGGTGCGATGCGGTGGGGTGGGGACAGGCACAGTTGCTTGCTTTATACCTTGTTCGAATATTATAATTACCACAGATTCGAAGGCACGGATCATCAAATGTTCTTTAAATTTAGATGCTTTTGTTTAAAGAGAAATTTATATAATTCCTCTTAGGACCTTGCTTGTATAGAGTATCTTTCTGTTTATAAATTACTGATTTCTATCTGTTTAATAATATTTCAGTTTCAAATTTCGTTTTATTCTGTGTTTTTATTAAGCAATTTTATTGTTTTAGATTTCTGAGGCTTAGTGATACATTCTTTTTCATTATTTCAATGTAAATAAATTATGTACTTGAATCCAGGTTAACTCGTTATTTTGTTTCAGGGTTCAATATCACAAAAGGAAAAACAACCCTTTATCATTATTTCATTGTGTGTTTGTTTGTCAGTCAATCAAGTGTCTAAGTTTAGTTCATCTATTCCAACTGGAAAGACATCAATGTTATAGTTAAATCCGAAGAAATGGCCGAAATTCTCAATACTCCTCGAAAGCGATAAGCTATCCACATACAGGGTTTTACGATTCCTTCAATATGCGAATCAGATTCACAGTTTTCATTTCATATTTTATTAATCTCTTTATTGAACACCCTTTGGAGAAAATTTAATTGAAATATGTTCAACAAGCATGACAATCTTAATACAGATATCGATAGATCTGGTTTCTTTTAATTAGTTGTGCTGTTATAGGGTTAAGACATAGATAATTTAGCTTTATCCTTGGTGAAATCTTTCGTTAAAGATGTATCTTTTGAGTACGCACTGTAAGTATTTTTCTACCTCTCATGTCAATTTGTCATTTTATGAAAAAATAAACAAAGTTCCATTTTTTTGGTTTTATTTATAACAATGGGTAAACACTATATATTAAGCCTTTGAATCTTGCTTATTACATGTTTCTAGAAAACTGTAGATAATTCTCAACGCTGCTTTAGTACTTACCGAGAACAGGGAAGGTTGAAACTCACACATAAAACCTACTACGTACTGTGTACATTTTCTTTATGTAAGAACATTATTTGTATCCCATTTAAACAAATATAGATACGTAGAAGGATAATATATTTGGAATACAAAATAAATATATATAGAAAATTTGCAGAGAGCTAAAATGTTTAAACAATATGTATTATAAAGTATAAAATTATGTACCTATACTACTACATACTCGATACTTAAGATCATCGGAAAATCTCCACTCTACAAATGTTACCGATACATCTTTTACGGTGCAAGCAGCACGCCTCTGGAATTCCTTACCGGAAGCTACGAGTATAAGGCGGGCACAGTCAGTGGGTACTTTTAAGAAACTCGTCAAGGATCACTATTTATCTCTGTAATAACTATGTGCTATGTTGGTATTTGTATGCATGTTTATGTATGTATTCATATTTCTATACGTATGTAAGTGTATGAATATGTATTCGTGTATATGTATGTGTAATTAGGTAATATAAAATTTGTTAATATACGGAAATTGTAAATGCACACCACACGCTACATAGTAATATTATTATATAGTATGGTCTATCTTGCCTGGAAGAGATTGCAGACTGTGATAAGGCCGCCCATTGTACCACTGTTTTTTGTGTTTGCATTCTACATTGTATGATTGTATCCTTATCATGGTGTGCAATAAAGACTACCTGTCTATCTATTTACATGAAACTATACTGGTCCAATATATATTGTGTATTATCATAGTATAGAAGTCACAAAATAACAGTTCAAGTTATAGGTTTTTACACTGATCAGTTATTCAGCGGTTAAAATTCGACCACAATCTGATCCCTAGTATACATCTGTAGTATAAATATATCTCATTTTCTCTACCAAAAGTTCCACAGTTGCGCTTTTCAAATAAAAACATATTGATTGACAAGCAACCCTCAGATAGCTGCGTGAGGAACCGAACTTAATCCCATACAGTTATTTAATGTCAAATAGGGTCCATTCGTTTTGCTTTAGTCGGTTTTGAAAGCGCAAATACGATTGGGTTCGCTTAATAAGTTTAGCTGATGCTCTTTTTGGTAACTAAATGGTTAAACTGCACATAAAATTAGGGTACTTTGTTTAGAATGAGTGACTGAATTGTAATTTGTTACATGTAGATATGGTATCTGTTAGGTAACTTTTTAGTTAGAAGACCTGCACTGTGATTTTATTCGACGTCTTATTAATTATACATTTATGAAAACTTGGTTAGGTTAGGTTGATTTATAGTTAAAATTGATTTAGATCACTAATACCAATACTACTACTACACATTCACAAACTAAATCAAAATTAAATTTATAAACAGTGCCGAAGAACAACTAGAGGGATGTGAACAGTGCCTAGTCACAGAGCCAGACCCTAGGGGGCGTAGAAATAACCAAACCAGCGTAAAATGGGAAGAAACACATCTTAATATTTTCAAAAATATTTTTGATGGAACAATAATTACAGATACTTGCACCTGACGCTGGATAGAGATGCTAGTGCTCAAAAGCTATAATTTTTATATATTTTATACTACTTACTTGGTATTATCAACTAGCGACGTGGGTGTCATCCAGGCTCTGGTGAGAGGTTCCTCCTTCAAGGAGGTGACGGGTCCGCGGGGTTGAGCGTGCAGGCCACCCGCCGCCTCCTGGTGGTGCAGGCCAAACATCAGCCCACCTAAATATCAGTATTTCGTTAAAAAATGTAATCCTTCAGAATATATCCTAATATGTTCTTTTTACAGTTATTCTAGCTATACGCTGTATACCAATATACCTAATATTGGTATACAGCGTATAGGTTTTCATATGGACGCATCAAATCCAGATGAAAATCTATAGGATACGGATAAAAATATCTACTTTGTTACACTTTATGTACCTTATAGCATGGCAATACTTGGACATGAACATAGAATTGTACAAATATTTGTACTGAGCGGTAATCCAATGGGTACGACGTGAGACGTTAAATAAAAAACTAATAAATAAATAGTCAAAATATTAACTTTATACAATAAAATAATAATCAAAAATTTTATTACAAATATATTTGTATGAATAACAAGTAACAAAAAGTATTAACAAGTGTTCATGATAATTGTGTGAATAGACTATCAATGAGATTATTTTGCTTATCATCAGTGTTCCTTATTGGTAGATAATAAGTAAATCCTATTATATTAACCACTGCTTACTGATTACCAAATAAAAAAATACATTACTACTTTATGCGAAAACACAGAAAAAAATAAAAGATTCTCAACAACCTTTTTTAAACGTTTTTAAGGAACTCTGGAAAAATATTCAAATTCCGAAATCAGTTTCAGGGAATCTGTGTTTATTTTGATATTTATTTTTTAGATTCCAAATTTATGATTACGTTTCAGTTGGTGTTTAGACCTAACAAAAACCAAATTAACTTTTTTAATCACTTTTTTTTAGTAAATTTCTTTTGCATATTAGAATGAACTGGTGATTGATAAAAATAGACTTAAAACTGGTATTTGGCATTTTGAATAATTAATAATGATACTAATATGATGCTTTGTATTTTCATCGTCCGTTATTTATCATCACTTTCTTATTATTTGACTGCTGAACTTGCTTTTTCTACCTATCTACGTATTTCAATCTTTAAATATTCTAGAAATAGCCGGGTAGTCGCACTTGTGCCACGATTCATTAACTGTACATGTTTAATTTTATATCTTCGACCAGCAAAATTTGAACTGGCATTTGATTTTATATACCTATATGAATATAGTGTCAGGTCAATATCTATAGCTCTTTAGCTTTTAAATTTAATAAACAAATTGGGATTAGACCCATTTTTTTTTTAAATTTACAACACATCTATTGATTAAAATTTTAGGTTTCTGGATTGCTTTTACATATAAACATTAAGTATTCCAAATTTCAAACGAGTTCGTGCGCAAATTTGTCAAAAAATCGGTACAAAAAATTCTTTTCACGAATTAATATTTGTAAAGAGAATTTTTTGACCAATTAAATTTTTGTGATGATAAGGAATTACGAGCCTTTTTTACATGCTTCTAGAGTTGCCTTTTTATGCAACATATGAACAGTTATATTTTATAAAAACTGATCTTGGACAAAATACATTTACATAATATAAATAAATACAGTGCAAATTTATTTTTACGACATCAAAAGAAATACCTCCAAAATAAACGAAGACAGTTTTTGCAGATTTTATTATTTAAAAATCACTTTTAAATATACGGCTAAAATAATATTTAAAATTATTAATAATAAATAGAAAATCATTCGTCGCAATCAAATGTGTGCGAGACCAAAATGAATTTTAATTAATAAAATAACTTCCTTCATAAGACGCTACTGAATTTGTCGGAATATTAATTATTGCCGTAGCGACGTTCATTTGTGATGCTGCGACACTCGCTCTTGTTGACTTGATTATGTCAACACTTCTGCGAAACAAGCTTTCAGTTACGTTTCTTTTTTATTTTCTTTACATTTGTTGCTATGGAGGTTTGACGTGTCATGAAATATTCATATAAAAAGATTATTTCTTGTGATAGGAGGCAAATATGCCATAATATTATAAAAAATATATAATTTTAAGGTAGATACAACAGTTGAGCTAGTTTTAACATTCTTAAATGTTTTTTTCATCGTACCGAGCATTCCCCTCTCCTTTAAAGTGGATACCAAGATAGAGCTTTAAAACTTTTTGTAATGCTGAACATACCTGAAGACCTCGGCGCTCCCGATGGATACAGCTTTCGTCCCCATCCCACGGGGTCGAGCTCGAGCGGCGGCCACGGCGAACCCGTGTACCCGCCCGCCGCGTTCAACTCGTCCGACCGAATCTCGAATCACGACACGCACCCGTATTACGCGCCCGAGAGCGCACGAACACGCCCGGAAAATCACGAAGTCTCGCGAAAATTACGTTCTGAATTCAAAATATATTTTTTGAATTCGCACAGTTTCTTTTAAACAAAAAATAATTTGGATTCCGAACTGCTGTTCGAAAGTAGTTTTCAACTATGTTCTTAATTTTCAAAAGTGCATAGTGTCGTATGACTTTTATCACAAAAAAAAACGATAATTCACAAATAAAATCTAAACACAAAACCTGACTTTTAATTTAAGTTAAACAAACAAAACTTAAGTTGGTGGAAGTAGTAGAGCGATACTATCAGTACTGTATAACTATCCGATAGGCGGCTCTGTGTTATCGTATGTACGTACTGGGATCGTGTCCCGGTTGTGCGGGTGATCCCGCTGTGGATTTGCGGAACACTAACAAGCGTCGCGGGAGCGAGCCGCCGAGTGCCCATGCTTCGCAGCGCCCCCGTCCGTCCCCGCGGACTGTGGGAGGCGCCCTGGGGACACGCCCTCGCCTCAAGAGCAGGACGGCTACAACAGCACAGGTGGCGCCACTTTTACACACTTCCATTTAATTTATTTGTACAACAAACAATGTAGTTATATTCGAAATTTAAATAAAAACTCGTATTTGAATTTTATTACTTGAAAATGGAACAGAGGCGTGCTTATTTATGGACGCGCATTATGATAATGGAGGGACGTTGCGAGGTTTCCCTCAGAGACCGCAGTACGCCCGCGCGAGTAAGAGATAGCGGGATAGATGAGACGCACAGCATCTCGCTGGACCAGCCGAGCTCAGCTCAGGGACGGCCCACGGCACAAGTATTACTTATTAAACCCAAGTTAGATTGACGATGATGAAATTTCAGTGGGAATTGACTTTAACTGGTAGCGAGATGAGGTTTTGTCGCCTCATTAATTATAGGCAAAGTGTGTTGTATGAGTGCAACGTAAACAAATCACTACATGCTAAAGTATCCTAACATTAAAAGTAAAATTTAGTCTTTTGACATTAATGAATGGTTGAAAACTTAGGCAATTATTCTTAATTATTTGTTTGAATTGTTTTTCATGTCCATCTGTTATACACATGAAAAACAATTCAAACAAATAAGTTGGATTGCTACTGAATTAGTCTAATATTATGAAGCTATGATTAATAGAGTAACCAACGATTTATGTGGAGGATATGTTCTGTCATTGGGGGATCTTTACTTGCGATAAGTTCGTTAACAAACATACATACGTACCTACCGAATACCTAAGTAATATACGAGTATTTTTAATAGTTTTCGAATGAAGATGAATGCCTTAACTTAGTGCCTATGTATTTAAGTCTTATTTACTCATTAAAATTGTGCATGACTGTCGTATACCTACTTATTTTAAAGAAATGACTAAGCTTATTCGTTTAGGACTCAAACAAAACAAATAATTCTAATGTAATACGAGGGCAGTCATTACAGCCAAAGTAATTGGCGTGCACTATTGATATTTTATATAATAGGTATTAAAATTATTATGTTCCGTGTGGTGACGGATTAAGAATACAGAGTGTCACCACCCCTATTCATCCCGTGGTGGTCGTAAGAGGCGCCTAAGGGGGCAAACTACGCAGGACAACAGCACTGCAAAGAGAAGGAAAACTTGACACAAACCCTATCCCCGTCCCTATGTAAAGCAGTGGACTACTAAAAGCTGTTGATGATGATGATGAAAATTATTATTGCAAGTATTGTTTTCTTTACCAATAACAACACCGAAGCATCCTATCATATTAATACGGTTAGTGACCTTCAAACCGATTTATAATGGCAATGGGCAAGCCATGAAAATATAGGAATCGATAACCGCTTTGGGGAAAATACAACAGTAGTGTGCCTAGATTTTTTTAAATTAAATAACATAAATATATGTCTGTCTCACAATATTTAGAAGAATTAAATGTACCTACACATAAATATACAGAAGGTCAATTCTCGTAATAAAAATTAAATAATAAAAATATAGGTGTCTCACAATCTTTAGAAGAATTAAACCTTAGTAGGTATATAGAAGGCCAATTGTCGTAATAAACATCCGTTTATTCTATTCTCAATCTCACAAATGTCATAAAATGTAATCTCGTACATTTTAGAGGGAGAGGGGAGGAGAACGCTCTACTCTAACGACAACTAGTACTTTAAAGCTAGTCTTCACAACCGCTCAACATTTTTCAAATAATTTTCCAATGACACTCCACACTATGGGATCGGCGAGAAAATAAAAACATTCCCACTTTCCCTATAGGTACTTACAGGAGGTACCCTAAAATAAACTGTTTTTAAATGTTCATTTTACCAGTTTGTTGGCGTGGTCAATATATAGGCCCTTTCTAGTAACAACAGTTTCTAAGCTAAGCCACGTTCGTACGGACAGAACGGACATGGTAAAACTATAGGTAAGGATGCCTAGTCCTATTACGAAATCCTGATACAGGTATATTTGGAAAATTTTATTGTAGATCGTCCTTTATTACGATCAGTAATAAAAATATTTGTAATTTTTTTCGAGATAGGTTCGAGCTTAAAAATACATTCACTTCAGTAATCGGTAATTTCTTTGATAATTTCCTATTAAAAGTCAATAGATGATCATATTCAGTGAAAGAAGCTTTATGGAGTTGTAAAGAAGATGTGATTTGTCACATCTTCTTTACAACTCCATAAAGCTTTAGTCATCAAGTTTTTAGTCATGAAAATACGCAAAATAGATAACAGGGTTCGAAAATAAGTAAATAAGCCCAGACTTCATTACCGTGATTTGAAACGGGACGCACATGGACTACCACTAGCTTCTTTCCTTCTTAGGAATACATTTCATGGAGACGAATGATATCCTGTAGTTAAACCAAAATGAATATATCGCTGTTTGAAACACTATTTTGTAAATACATAGTACCTAATTTATATTTTAAAAAGTAACTTTCATCCCCATCACCCTAATAATTGGCGCTCCACCACTGTGCGCTTTTCTAGACAATTTTTGCCTCGCACAACTAATCTGAGTAACCAGCTATCGTATGTGGTATTTCCGGACCGATACGACCTTCAAACCTTCAAGAAAATGTCGTACACCTTTCTAAAAGGCAGGCAACGCGTTTGTGACTCCTGAGGCAGGCGTTCATGGGTGGCGGTAGTCACTTTCTATCAGGTGACCCATCTGCTCGTTTCCCCTTCTTCCATAAAAAAAGTTAAATCGTTAAGATATTGGAGCAAAAGAGAGAAATAAAACAAGAAGGATTAACGTTGAATTTAGAAAGCTATACTCCTGATCATCCTTTGTGATTTTTATGGATATAGTCATGTACGAGTACTAAACGTAGTGTGGGATGTAAACTGACAATCTAATTATCTTATTTTTTAATTTCATGTTTTTGAAGTGCTGAGTTTAAAACTCTTATACGAGTATAACTTTAATAGCTGACTACCACGTAAAGCATGGTGTGCAAGCGTGCCATAGAAACATTTTGAATTAGTCTATTGAAAATAAATAATTTATGATTCGATTTTTCAAATATTTATCTAATAGGGATGTTTCCTCTGCTAAAACAAAAACAATGAGGATTGGATTATTAGATTAGCTACCTATACTTTTTATTTAAGGAAATTAAAGGAATTTAAAGATTATACCACTATTTATGTACTCGTATTTATAAATAATGGTATAAGCTTTAAATTCCTTTTTAAAGATACAGTGCTCTTGACGATGTATATGTATGTATAGTGTTCGCCGAACACTGGACCAAACCGATTGATGTGTTGCCATCGATCACGATAAAAGAAGAAGAAAACAATAATGCTCACCCAGAAATTATGCCTGTGTCAGAAATATTGTATATTATTGTTTGACGACACCCAAACCCTTCCTATTCTTCGAACTTTAATTTGGGCAGGCATAGATTAATATCCATGCAGTGTAATCTATTTGATGGCTTAGCAAAAATAATCTTAATATGCTTTTGTTTTGTTGTGATAAACGTCAAATGTTTTACAGCTAGGGACAACTGTCTTAATTAACTCTGTGGTTTGTATGAGAAAAGAAAGTGTAGTTTTTACTATTTTTTACGCAATTTTTAAATTTTTTCTGTTCATAATGACCTTCTCAATCAAAAATGCGCCTCATTTTATTTAAAAAGTTTTATAAAAATAAGTAAGTACCTAAGCTCGCCGTCTAAATATAAATTAGGAGTAAAAATCAGAGCTAAGAGACATTTACAACATAGTTTATATATCTCAGTTCTATGGTTTGTGCCCAGGAACCAGCCGTTGTGCAGGTATTGATTTCTATTTTTGTTTGCTTTGCAGAGTCACAAGTACAAGCATTAATTATAGCTTTTAGTCTGTTTTTAGCAAAAAATAGGTGCAGCTGATCCAATAAAGTCGGGTACGGACCATAGATAAGGGTTAATGACAATTTGTGAGCTTATGAACAACCCTTACTCGTGTTAGTCCTATTACTCCTGTTAGGTAAGTGCTACCTCATGACCAAGTTGAAATTGTTGCGGAAAGAGGGGTATCACCATCATAAACGCAGTATTTCTTTATTATAGTGCTCTATTATAACTTTAATGTAGAGTAACTACATATTATTTAAAAAAAAAGCTTTCTAACGTGTGGGAAAATTGATTTAGTATAGAACATAGGTACAATAATCATCAATATAATATTAGGTACGTTCAGTTATTCAATCCATAGGTCTAGGATAACTAATAATATCTGAGTAAGTCCAACAACAAGGTACAAACAAGTCGGTGTCTCCGGGGCCTGAGTGCTTTGGGAGGTCTCAGAGGGACCGCCCTTTTACCACGCCCATCGCAGACCACGCCTACCTAGTGCCTAGAGAGTTCTCTGTAATGTGAAATATCCTTACTTGTTTTAACTTAAGATGTATGATGAAATATGGCTATGGTGCTTTTAGTTGGGGAACTCGGTACTATAAAACTGAGTGTAAAGTTACATAGTATACGTACTATTTATTATAATAATATGCACATGTATATTACTTGAATAATCTTAAAAAAAGAAACGTTGAAGCAGGTTGAATATGTACATGGTGTCGTCTCGGTGAAAAGTTTTAGCCATGACGTCACACATTGGACACTGACGAAATGGTCATTACAGAATACGAAGCTAAGAGTTGCATAAAAACGTGTATTGTATACACATGTAAGAATACTCATAATGGAAAACATTTGTTTTATTCGCAGTTTAGAATATGTGTATTAAGTAGGAAATACACAAAAATTTGATCATCAAAATATGCAAGTACTTAGGTAGGTAAATAAGTTGTAGACTTATATTTCATTAATGGTACGTGACAGAATTACACGCTATCACATTGCCTCGTAATGATTTCTTTGTCAGTTCTCTGCCACTTTCATTAGCTCGTAAGTTTATCACCTAGACTAAATTTAAAAATGTAGATATCATTAATAAAAAAATAACGGGCCTGTTATTCTAGTGGTTAATAACCCTGACTGCTAAGCAAAGGACTGCTAAGGTCACGGGTTCGATGCCCACCCGAGACTAATATTTTTTTCTGTTTAAGTGTAATCTATCTATAACATTGTACGTATTTAAAAATATATAACTGTGTTTACCATGTTTGTGGTTACCATGGCTTTACCTAGTTTGGGATCAGACGACTGCGTGTAAATTGCATGAGGTATTATTATTAGTTTAACCACTTATGAGCTTTGGCTACCTGTTAACCATAGACGGCTTCACCATAGAATGCTGACCTCGTTTGTTTTTAGTTAACCCTCAGGTCCGCACCTGTCCACATAGTAAGTATCTAATTAAGTAAAAAAT